TTGTCTTTTCTCTCCTCTGCCGTTTTTGAACAGCTCGCTCACAAGGGCATTTCATTACATCATTAATTGAGCCTAATTCAGCTACATTAGCCCCCAAAAATGACAGGAGGGGTGTGTGTGTTGGTGTGTGTTTAAATTCTGTGTAATGAGGTCTGCAGGGAGACGAGGACGGAGGTTGTGTATAGAGGAGAAAATTACCTCAGGGCAGAAAAATCTCCCTTTTTAGTGAGCTTTAAAGCCCCTCTGCCTGAGACTGTCTCACTGCTTCTGTCTCTGCCTGTCTCACTGCTCTCGTCGTCCTTATGTCTTTATATATAGTGTTTTCTGTCTGTGTCAAGACACAGTTGTCCTGTTTAATAACACATTTTGTTACACATGTGTTTATTTTTTAAATTAGTGGTCAACATGGGTTTTCCGTTGCTGATCTTTAGACAGTGGGGATGCTGTTGGCTGTTCAATGCTGATACCATGCTGCTCTTTTTTCTTTTCTGCATCAGATAAAGTGCAACAGTATTAACAAATGAGACGGATTTGCTTTATTTAACACTAACGAAGTATGAAAATAGTTTAATTATTTCAATTATTTGAAAAGAAAACATGGAAGTTGTTTGTTTGCCACACTCCCCTAAAACTAAACTGTAAATGAACAAACTGACAAGGCTGCAGATGTGTTTAGCTTATTGGCCTGAAAATGCCTCAACCTGATTAACTGATCAGTCTGTTTACCACTAGTTAAAATGTAAGTAATAGGAATAAAAGACTGCCATAAAGAAAGCAATCAAATTTAATAAATGCTGATAGAACAAAGAAGGAAAAATACAAAAGAAAAGAAACCTCATCATCCCACAGACCATAAACACAGAATCTAATCACAGGCCTGATTAAACAGACAAAAAGTCCCTTTGCTTTTAAATGTGGACACAGTTGAAGCAGGTCTTAGGTTGGACGGGGCCGATGCAGCACCCTCACCAGGCTGTGACTGGATGGTTTAGACATTAGCTACTGTTGCTCTTTATCACTGCAGGAACTTCGTGACATGTAACCTAACATGAGGCCATTGTCACGGCTCTTATGACGTGTTGGGTTCCACTGTTCTCCCACTTTGGTGATGAGGTCCTGGAGCAACAGCTATGGAAGTACATCCCTGCCAAAACATCTGAAGGCACACAAACCACAGAGAGCGTGCAGGCACTGATTTGTAAGATCAGTATCACGCTTGAGAGTGAGGGAGTATGAAGTATTGTCTGCCCTCGCTCTCACATCTGTTTCTGTGCTTATAAATCTGTGCCTGTCTTCTCTCAAATGCCGAGTAGCATTTGAAATGTAGTTCGTGCACCCTCAAACATTGTGGCAGCGACGTGCTTCTATAAACGGATGACTGAGTGAACACGTTTCAGGTACTTTTTGGAGGCAGCACACTCGATCGTAATTGGTGAAGCATATGCTACAACATCCTTTTTAACTGTTTCTTTCCACATGTATGTGGCATGTTTTGGTTGTATGTCTCTGTGAAGTACCTGGTAACGTAGTAAGTGCTGCAGTATCTGCTGTAAACTGTTCATTTTGTCATTACTACATTCATATGTTGCAACCTGAGTGTAATTGTTTGCTTTTTAAAACTGCAAACATGATGTTTATCTTGATCCTACCCAAGTGTTTAAGTTGTAAACTATACCTTAATCCTAGCTTATGTTTTATAGCTACAGCTCTCCCCAACCCAACGATTTTATTTGATAGGTAAAGTTGCCAAGTAAATGTTAGTGTAAGCTTCTTATTTAAGGTAAGTAAAGAAAGTTTAAATCAGGGGTGTCACACTCAATGGCACAGGGGGCCAAAACTCAAAGCACACTTTAGGTCCTGGGCCGAAATTAGGTCGTGGGCCGAACAGGATAAACACTTATTGAACAGCCTAAAACTAAACGTTTTTGGAACATATATATGAATCGAAACAGACAGGATACAATATCCAAAATAAATAAACTTGACCTTAAAATCAGCAACCGTATTTCTGCTAAGCCTTACATTTACAAACACCTGCTTTTTGTCTGGACACCAGACGTCACACACTTTCATCATGTAGCTCTTCAGAAACTCTCCCCCAGTAAATGTCTGGGTTGATTTTCTCCTCTGCCCCAATAAAACTTGTACGCAGGTATCGTATGTTCGGTAAGGCAGCTGTTGTGCTACATATTTGTTGTTTATTTTATCGGCTTCATATCGACGGGCCATTAAAGATACAATATATAAAATGATCTCACGGGCCAGATGTGGCCCACGGGCCTTGAGTTTGACACATGTGGTTTAAAGAAAGTTCTCAACAACATTTAGCAACACATTTTGATTACCCTGATAAGACTCTTCACAAAACGTCTTCTTGTGTCCATCTCTGTCGTCTGTTTTGCACGACATATTTCAATGCGATTAATTTAGTTTGACAAAAACAACAACTTTGATGCTAATTGTGGCAAAGGACAACAAGCTAACGGTGATCACTTCTGTAGTAATTTACAGATCTATTTCAGCCATATGTTGACATGGCACGGTTAGGGATCTTACTGTTAATAAAAAAAAAGGCAAGGTCAGGTGATGAAAGTCAGTTGTGCTCCGTGTCCATCGTCCACCCTGACCGCCACCACCCTCACACCTTAGCACAGTGCACTGACACCGGGCATAATCAGGAGGTGTGGAGTCATTAGCTACGGACACAAAAAAAAAAGGCAAGGTCAGGTGATGAAAGTCAGTTGTGCTCCGTGTCCATCGTCCACCCTGACCGCCACCACCCTCACACCTTAGCACAGTGCACTGACACCGGGCATAATCAGCAGGTGTGGAGTCATTAGCTACAGACATGTTTTCTCTGGCTGGCCTGGCAACATGGTTGTGTATAAAAAGAATTTTTCAGAGTGTGGGTTGTGCTGTGGACTTGTCGGTACAGAAGCAGGAACCATATAAACGGTCCACTGCCCCGCAGTCAGTACTGGCAGGATTGCTTGCAGCCTGCATCAGCCTAGACTTGCTAATGATCTGGACACTTTTAGGGACAGATGGTGCACTGAACAAATGGTCTTCTGCTCAAGACAGCACGTTGGGGCTTTGATGTCCTTTTATCCTCTTTTTGAGTTTGTGATCAGTTTTGGCGTTTAATGGTGTAGATGTCCAATATGCGTCTGAGCACTTGTGATGAAGGGACCTTTTTAAAATTCCACTTTTCTTCCTTTGTCTCTCACATTTTCTGGCTTTGTCTTCTTTCTCTCACTCTGTTTTCTTTTGGGAAAGAGCGAGAGAGAGGGAGACAGTTTAACCTGAGGGCAGATTTTCCACATAGCCATCTCTCTCTCTCTTTCTCTGGCAGCTGTACTTTCTCCTTTTCTCTTTAGAGAGAGCTTTGCCCTCAGGGTAAAATTTTTAGAAAGCTATAAACCATTTCTCCCCCTCTCTTTCTTCTCTCTGTCTTTCTCTCTAGAGATTAACAGTGACAGATAGAAAGACAAGAATAATAAAGGGATAGAGAGACACAAGGCAAGAGAAAGAGGGAGATTCCTTTACTTTGACTTGCCTGTCCTTTCTGTCCCAGAGGGACATCTACCTCAGCTTCATCTCCCAGTCAGTTACTTGGTTTTGTGGACATTTGCAGGACATCGCAACATGAGAGGGGTGTGGTGAGCCAGCCCTCCTGTACAGTTGGAGCTGCTGCTGCTTTAGACTTCGTCCACATCTCAGGCCTTAACGCTCAGTTCTGACCTTTGTGTGTCCCTGCTTCTCGTCCGTGTGTGTCAGCGCCATGTACCTGGCTCCGGTGTGAACACCGCCGAGCTCCCAAACTGTCACACATACACAGATGTAACTGAAATGTGGGCCACGTGCACACAAGAATAACAACCAGGTGGTGTGTGCGATGGTCAAGTGGCCCAATTTCCTCCCAAACCACTGGGTTACGATATGTTCCTCCCAGTTTGGCCTGATAAGAAGCTTCTCCATAAATGTCCACCACATGTAAAACATCCTGGTCTCTCCACTGACCCCATCGCTGTCATTGCTCTCCTCCATGTTTATTGTTACCGGTCTGTGAGGGGCCGACGCCGAATGTAGGAGACGTTAAAACGACCACATGGATTCTGATCTGATGTTCTGGCGGCGCTGCACAGTCAGAGGTCAGAGAGGAATCAGGTCTAGGAGCACATATGCAGGTGGCCCAGATCTGGTCTGGTGTGTTCACACTGCTGTGGACACATTGGGTCTGAGTCACTGGGATGAAAAACTAGATTGAAATGGTGTGTGGAGAAAAGCAGGCTTGAGCGAGAAGGTCACATCTTGCCTTATGTCTACAGTCACTCGTCTCACTCTCAAAAACAAAGTGAATGACTGTGGTCCCCAAAATCCAAACATTTCTCCTTTTAAACTGAAAGAATTTATTACTATACTAGTAGTACAAGAGATTTAAAAGCTTAATTGTAGTTAAAATTTCAAGACGCATGTTTTCATGATTTTAAAGTTAAACTGGAACAAACTATAATTTACATTTAAGCACATCTGTTTTCATAACAACATGTATTTGATGTATAATCCCTCATTAACCTTACAAGAAGAAGTTCCCCTCAGACGGTGTTGCTCTGGCTTTGCTAGTGTACCTCACCAAATGAAGCTTGTTAGCATTATTAGCTCCTCATGTGACCTAACGGCAGGTTCCAGCCTTACATGGAGCTAATAGTTCTCACTGGTTTTAATGAGGATAGCTAACAATGCTATCCAGCCGCACTGTTCCAGACTGTCCTGCAGAGCTGAACTCACTGGTTCCTCTTGTCCTGTGCCATGTGTGTTCGTCATGCTAGGCTGTATAAACGTGTGTCTGTGCGAATACGTATTTGTGTGCGTGTGTGTGTAGCTTTGCTCGTATCAATGTGTCTGAGTCTCACCGGTCTTCTTTTGTCTTGTCCTGTGCTTTTTCTCTCCTTGTATGTGTGTGTATGTATGTGTATGTGTGTGCGTGTGTGTGTGTTTAGCTATCGGTACCCAGCGGAGGAGGAGTCCCAGTGCAGTCGCCTCAGAGATCTTCGAACCTCACCTGGGAAGCCACATTTTACAGGTAGGAAATAAGCTTGGAAATGCTTGAAGATACTTTATTTGTGTGCAGGTGGACACACAACACACACACACACACACACACACACACACACACACACACACACACACACACACTCTCTTTACCCAGCATATCTTTCAGTGCATTCAGTTTCCAGTTGTTGTTGCACTGTTGCATCACTCAACATGATGCAGAGTCAGTATACTGTGCACTCACACACTTGTACAAGCCTCCTTCATGTTGTTCAGATATTCACATATCTAGTTTTGTTAGTCCCTAAGCTTGTGACACAGGGTGTTTCCTGTCACAGGAAGGTGCAGCGCCTAAGCTGAATGAATGTAAAAAGGTGACATATCAGAATAAATGAAAAAACAGAGTCATATGAATTATAACAGAGAGGTGACTCAAAATGAAATGCAAGCTGGCAACAATCAGCAATTATTGTTTGAACAAACGTTTGTGTGACTGGTAGCGTCGCCAAGATAGTCAATAAGATGGCAGGAGTAGTTAAGTTTCATTAGCCACGGAAGCTATTTAGTTGATGTTAGATAAATAATATTTTAGAAATATGTTAGAATAGGCCAGTCGAGAGACATAGTCCCTCCAGCGTGTCCTGGGTCTTCCCCGAGGCCTCCTCCCGGTGGGACATGCCCGGAACACCTCCCTAGGAAGGCCCAGGAGGCATCCGAAACAGATGCCCGAGCTACCTCAGCTGGCTCCTCTTGATGTGGAGGAGCAGCGGTTCTACTCTGAGCTCCTCCTGGGTGACCAAGCTCCTCACCCTATCTCTAAGGGTGCTCCCAGCCACCCTGCAGAGAAAGCTCATTTCGGCCGCCTGTATCCGGGATCTTGCCCTTTCGGTCATGACCCAAAGTTCATGACTATAGGTGAGAGTCGGAACGTAGATTGACCAGTAAATAGAAAGCTTCGCCTTACAGCTCAGCTCCTTCTTCACCACGACGGACCGGTACATCGACCGCATTACTGCAGAAGCTGCACCGATCCGCCTGTCAATCTCCTGTTCCATCCTTCCCTCACTTGTGAACAAGACCCCAAGATACTTGAACTCCTCCACTTGAGGCAGGAACTCTCCACCAACCTGAAGGGAACAAGCCACCCTTTTCATTGTCCAAGGCCATGTTAGAATTTCCTTTTTTCAGTTTTTCTGCAGTTTTATCCACGGGCACCGTTGGGGGGGGAAGTTAGGACGATTCTATGGGCCCACGAACTCTGGGAGCCCACAGAGACTAGCTTTGGGTGAGGCAGAGGGCCCACTTCAAATTTTTTCATAGGGCCCAGAACTGCTAGCGGCGCCCCTGGTTTTATCTGTATAGATAATTCTGCCATCCGCAGTGTAAATACTGCCACACACTGTTTCTGAGATGCTTTGGTGCTGTTAATGTCGGATCAGCACAACATTGCTCACTATTATCCCACATTTTGTCTTTGCATCCACAATGCTATTAGCTTGCAACTTGTTGAGCTGATAGTGAGTTTAAAGAACTCCCTCTGCTGGACCACACGGTGAATTACATCAAGAACCCAGTAGTGCTGGTTATAATGTACATTTTTGTATTTCAACAGGTCATTGCAGTTTGAATATTTATTAATGTATTATTATTATTTTAATAATTCCAGTATTTAGTTTATTCAGATCCTTATTTTTTATTTTTTTATTTATTTTAGTTTTTCCTCATCCCTAGAACAGGTCGACCAAAGTAATGTTCCCGTCTCAAGTAGTTTCAGTTGAACACTTTGTAGAGGCCTGATGGAGACAGTGATCTGATATCTCACAAGACAAATAGTCAAAATAATAATGTCATATGAAAATGTCTCTTCTATGACTTTAATCCTCCACTGACCTTGCAGATTCATCCTCTGAACTACTGTGTGAGGTATTAGCATGTTAGCATGCTGAAGCGAAGACTGATGAAGGTGGAGCCAAGTCTGATCCTGAGACGTTTAGTCTTTTCTGATGTCTCCACGCTTCGGACAAATTTAAAATTTGTTGCCCCACTTGTGGTACATGTAGGGATTAAAGCACAGCACTGTCGTCTTCGAATGTTTTCAGTCATGAAACATTTTCTAGTGTGTAATGAGTACCCTGGCCTCATGGTGCCGCTAGTAAGACATAATCGTAATGACTTATTATTGCTGTGTATTTTCTGTTCTCCTTAATTCCTAAAACCCTTTTGAAATTGTAGTGTGAGGTCCAAATCCTATCATTTTTCTTCTAAATGAGAATTTTAAACCATTTTGTCATTTGAATAATTTCACGTGATTCCTTTGAGCTTTTCTGAAGCTGAATTATTCTTGATAATGGACCTTTGCATTATTAGCACAGTACTTCTTCATAATTCAGCCTCAGATTTCTCTCCACATCCAGCTTCAGTTCTTCCTCAATATCCAGCTGCAAAACTGAATTATTAAATGGGATTATGAAAGTATGATAATGACGGGGTTATCGCTCTTCGCTCGAGACGGTTTCTCTGTGTGTGTGTGTGTGTGTGTGGATGTTTAATCCCTAACATGCTCCACTCCTTATCTGTGTAACATCCAGCCCAGCGGCTGAGCTTTTAACATCACAACCAGGCTGACGTGATACCACAGCTGATAGAGGCGGTTAATCTGAGTGTGTGCCTTTGTATTACTTACGTTATGGGGACATGTTAGCACGCTCACATTATGGGGACTCGGCCATCACTGAATTTCAGGGTGGCAGCATAGTTTAAGGTTAGGGCGAGGTCAGGGTTAGGCAAGTAGGGTTAGGGTTAAGGGTAGGATAAGCCTTTACAGCCTTTACAGAATGTTTCCAAGCAGGATTTCTCACCTAGTCAGCAGTAGAGACCAGTCAGACCAGTGTGAGCACATTGGCAGGTAGAGGGCGCTGTTCCCAACCCGATACTGTTCACTCTCTAAGTAAGACTGTGGAGAAAGAGCAACGGAGCAGGATGCTGGGCATTAGTGCTGCATATGGCTGTATCTGTCGAGTCCCCTGTTTCTTGCATTTGTTCTTTATCTGTCCCACTTTAATCCTGCAGACACCAGCAGTAATGAGCAAACATGTTGTCGTGACAACCGGCTCTCTTCTTCCGCTGCTCTGCACATCAGGCTGTCATGTGTGAGTGTTAACACGGGGCTGGAACAAGCAAGAGCAGTCCAGCCGCCGTGCGTCGCTACTGTGTCAAGCCTGTGTGTGAGTGCTAGCAGTGTGTTGTGTTCCTGCAGCACGAGACGCTAGGCAACCCATAATACCTTGTTATAAACCCTGGGGAGTCGCTATGACAACCATGTGAGGCAGATCCCCAGGCAGATTGAAGCAGCTGTGAGATTGGAAGCGACACAAACAATGTGGGCCTCCCTTCACCTGGAAGAGGGAAGGTGTGTGCATTTGTCTTGTTGTGTGGACACATGCTACCCAGTCCTCACACCTCCTGATGGCCGGTCGAGGGTTCAGACCTGGTTGTTAGGGTTCAGGGTGGAGTCAGCTTAAGGATAGGGGTGCATTATGTCAGTGAGTGCCTTCCCTCCAAAACTGACACACTGAGTTGGTGAAACCATATATTTGTGTGATAAATTCAGTCAGTTGCTGACACCCTCCAAAGTTCACCTGGGAGACATCACCATATTCTCTGTTATAGCCTATCTTTGGTGGTGTTTGTGTTTAAAGTACTTTTCATATTTCCACCCTGTGAAATGGTTTCACTGCAGATGTTGCATGTAGCTGTGGAGCTCCCATCATTTTCAACCTTAAGGTAGTTTGACACAGACATTCTTCTCCTGTTGTTGTAAAATGCAGCTAGCGTCTGTTTACGACACCCACAAAGGGCAGCTGACATAAGTGAAAACAGTTCTGCAGCCCTGAACAAAACACAGCAAATCCCTGTGAGCAACTGGAGTGAAAATAAATCGATCAGCTTTATTTCAGTCAATACAGTCCATTAAAATATGGCCCCAGTACCGGCCCGTACAACCAGGCCGTGACCTCTCTAGTCCAGTTTGTTATAAGAAACTGCTGTCGCACCTTCTTGTCTTTTCTGTACGTACATGCCTCTGTGTGTCAGCCCATCACCTCTGTGAACATATATTATTCCGAGTGCGTTTCTACATCATTGTGTGTGTTTCTGTGCGCGCGGCCTTTTCAGTGGAGAAGCAAGGCCGACGTGTTGGTGGCAAATTGGCCTCATTAATCTTCCACTTAATTGATTGTGAGAAGTTTGAGGATGACATTTTAAGAAAGCGTGGCGGACGGGGCGCGGTGTGATTGATTTGGCTAAAACGCAGCGCTAATGAATGCCAGCCAGTCACTTAGGTGGTAGAGACCAGACACTAATTTCAGAGAGATTAGGCCAGGGAGGTTGATAATGCTTAATGAAGAGCGAGAGAGGGAGCAGTCATTAAACAGGACGTACAGCTCCATGTGTACTCTCTTGTCAGATGTGGGCGGCCGCGTGTGTGTGTGTGTGTGTGTGTGTGTGTGTGTGAGTAAATGAGTGAAGCTTGTATTTGTAAGAACTTTATTAGTCATCAATAGAGACCTGGGTGGGGAAAACGTGGACACAGTCTCTAAGCCTGGAGACTGGTTTAGCCCTTGTTGTTGTCTTCATCAGGCAGAAAATATTTGTTTGGACAACAAATGAGGTCCCGGTTGGTTTTGAACGATCAAATCTAAATCCAGTTTCTTATCCACTAATCAAATCATGGTCCTTTCAGACACTATTTAAAAATCTGGGGCCTTATCTTGTGATCTTGGCCATGTTAGAATACTAATGTGTTAGCATGTTAGCATGCTGTTGCACAGGTTACATATGTTGAGCCTGGATTCCTGGAGCTGTTTGTAAGAATAACATTGTACACTCCAATAAACTGCTTAGCTCTTGGACAGTGGTAAACTAGAACAACAAAATAACACAGAGGAAGTTCTCACTGCTTACAAGAGATTAGTTGTTAATAAATATTTAAACCCAGGTGGAGCTGTGCAAACACACAGTATGAAGAGAGAA